TCTCTTTCTGCCTTTAGCTTGAAGATGCGCCATCGGGATCCACGTCTCTTCTATCTGTCCATGGAGGTGGCTGTGCGGCGAGCTGGAGTGAAGACCATTCTGGTGCTGGACGACGACACACGTCCGGCCATCCTGCAGGCCTGCCATCCCAAGGGCGAGTCGCGCTTCTGCCTGCAGCTGAAGGCGGGCGGCCTGATCCGCGTGCACACCTCGGCGCTGCAGCCGAGCTCGCAGTACAAGTCGCTGGTCATCAGCGAGGAGACGACCTGCGACGAGCTGCTGCAGCTGCTGCTGGGCTGCTACAGCTCCCTGGAGCCCGTCGAGAACTTCTCGCTGTACGAGGTCTGCCCGGGCCAGGAGTGCCAGCGCAAGCTGCATCCGGACGATCTGCCGCTGCGCGCGCAGGCCGAGCGGCTGCGCCGGGGCGAGAACTGTCACTTCCTGGTGCGGCGCACGCCCAACTACGCGCGTCGTCGCCAGCTGCTGGCCAACCTGAACGAGGCCATCAAGCAGAGCTATGAGAGCGATGCGACGGCTGTCTCTGCCGCCGCCGCTGCTGCAGATGCGGATGCGGATGCGGATGCCGTTAGCCTGCTGGAGCTGTCGCTCGAGTCGGAGCTGTCGCTTTCGGAGGACTTGCGCAGCTGCAGCAGCAGCGAGGATGCCGAGGATGATGAATGCGCCAGCAGTTCCGGCTCCTCAGACACCTCCACCGAATGCACACTGCGTCGCGACTTCTTTCAGCGACGCACGCCGGTGCAAGTGAACGGAAAAGCGGCCAGCTCGGCCGTAGCTGCCGCAATCTCTAGCTCTGCCTCGTCCTCCTCCTCCGTCTCCACCTCTTCCTCGCCGTCGCCCGCTCGCGCTTACAGCCCCGTCTACAACATACGCGAAATACGCACCGCCACGCACTCGTTCTCCTCGCTGGGCAAGGACAAAAAGCTGCTGGACATTCACATGAATGCGCGGTATGCGCCAGCCGGCATCTACAACCGTCTCCTGCCCGTCGCCGAGGACAGCCAGGACGGCCTCGACGTCAATGGCAATGCGACAACAGCAACAACAACAACAACAACAACAGCAGCGACAACAGCAGCGAAAGCAGCAACAGCTAATACTAAGCTCGCAGCGGAGGCTGTTAACAATAATCCAGCGAAAGGCTTGGGCCACTTTGTCTACTTGTAACTAGTCAAGGCCACAAGTTGTACATAGAGAGGCAGGCAGTGCGAGAGAGAGGAGCAGAGAGCGCAAGAGCGAAAATATCCCCAAAAAGAAACGTAAACCGTTTGGACCAAAGATGCATTTGTAGTTTAAGCCTGAGTGTAAATAGTTAAGAGATAGAGAGAGAGAGATAGAGAGAGAGAGGGAGAGAGAGAGGCAGAAATTGAAGCTTTTGGCATTTGTTGCACAACAAAAAGCTGGTAAATCCAAGATTACTAAAGGAGTCTATAGCTTGAGGCTTTAGTCGCGTAGCTAAAGCTAAACTAAGTCGTCGGATATCTGGGCACCTAACAAAAGGGTTAACACTTAAGTTAAATATATGTAGAAACCAAAAAGATATTCTAATAATACAAATTTAAAAAAAAAAAAAACATGTTTTTGTCATTATTGATACAATTTTCAGCATACCCCGCCTTTGCAGCTGTCTACAGGGTATAATGCCTGGCCTGGGCCTAGGCAAGTTAATTGCATTAAATGCAATATTTACGGCTAACGTCAATCAGGTGGCGGTGGCGGCGGCGGCGCTGGCGGTTGGCCAATTGCAATTTGTATTTTTAAGGATCGACGCGGCGTCGAGCTTAACTTGAATGATTTACGCGGCGTATACGCAATTTGCCATATAAATGAGCTTACAGCGCGAGCAGCTTCATCAAAAATGAAAACAAGCTAAAGATGGCTTTAACTTTAGCCTTTTTTCCAGCAATTTTATTTTGTATTTTTTTTTTTTTCGCTTTTTTCCGGAGTCTCTTAAATTACACAAATTATCTGGATTTTGTTGCTGGGCGACCTTTTTTTCGTTGAGTGCTCCGACTTTAGCCAACTAATTTATTAAGAAAGGTCGCCAGACTGAATTAAAAATAAACAAATCGCCAATCAAATCCAATTTGTTGCTGCCTAAAATAATAAGTCAACGCCAAAGGATGCGAAAGGGTCTCACAGATACTGAAAGTTTTCGCTTTGGGTAGTTTGTTTGTTCGGCGTATCCTTTGTTCCTGTTTTTCCTGTGAAAGTGGTCCCAGTAGTCGCGTGTGTGTTTTGGCTTTTAGCAGTTACGCTGCTTGCTCTCATCCTTACCAATTCCAATTTGACAGCCATGTCCTTGGTTGCATCCTTTCACATAATCTCAAATAGCCCATCATTACTGTTAAATCAATGTTATACGAGAAATGTCCACCTACAACTCACTTTTGTTCATCTGAGCAGCCTTGCTGCTAAGTTGAGTTTCAGAATTGTTCACCCTGATTTCTGCATACGAAGTGTCTAGTTTCAATATCAAGAGGATCAAACTGTGCAGAGAAATCAAGAAAATATTAGTAAAATCTAGTAGATTTAATCTACATACTTATAATAATTAGGTTTCTTACCTCATTTGAAAATTTTAACCAAGTCAGCTGAATCATCACAAAGGTATGCAACATAAAACTGTAATTGGTGTTCCTTACATAGCGCCACCTATTGAATTTACTTGGAGTTACATTTTCATAAATGTGCTGCCTAAAAGTATGCAATGCATTTTGTGCTGTTATTGAGCTATGTTAATAGAAGAATCGCTTATTGACGCTGCGTTTTATAGGTGTTTCGCCTATTTTGTGTAAATCTTACAATCAGAAATAAACAAAACATTCTAATAATCATATGGTTGACTTATGTTGATCTGATATTGTTTATTTGCATCTGCACTGCGCTGTTATTCTTGCCATTTCCACTTACCTAAACATGGAAGGCTTCCGTGTCGCAATCATAAAATACCTATAAAGCGCAAAGAGCCAAATTTATTGTTTGCATGATAAGTTGAAATACGTGGGCAATAAAATAATATAAATAATACTGAGGGCCTTTGGCGTTCACAAATTTATTTATTTTTAAATTATTTATGTTGATTTATTACCTAATATACATTAATATATATATATATACAGTAATACTAAGACAGCTAAACTAAAAATTGTCCACGTTATTTTTTTAGTGTATGTGTGCTTAACTCTTGGCCAAACAAAACTTGGTATTGGACCAAAACGAGCTAAACCCAAGCAAAGTTTGCCAAGTCCAGCGATTTTAAGGTTGCACACCCACACCCACACCCACACACACACACATACAGATATGTTGCAACCATGCACGTGTGTACACTCACCCGCACACATACATGACGTAAGCTAACACTAAGCTAAGCTCGTTTTGTTACTCGCCCAACTAATTGCCATAATCCGTTAGATAAAATTTCTTTATCATTTTTTGCTGCTGCTGCTGCAGTTGTTGTTGTTGTTGTGAAAGTTGTGCGAATTGAATCGGGTTTTTGCGTGCGCTTTTTTGTTTTATACAACTAATCGGCTTAGCATGCAGGCCACAGCCCACAGTTATGCATGGCTACGTGGGCGGGCGAGTGGGTGAGTGGGCGGATGCTGCAATTGACTTCTTTGACAGCTGCTGATTTTTCACTTGAATGAAATTGTAATCCAGGCACTGGCATCTGTTGACTAGCTATATAGCCGTTGGTATTAATTTGTTGCTGCGTTTCATAATATGTATAAAATATGAAGACAGAAGCAGTTGCTGCTGCTGCTGCTGCTTCTTCTTCTTCAGCTGCAGATGCTTTTAATTAAAAAAATCCTTTTGCGTCAGCATCGAAGGAGTTGAGTTTAGTTGAGCTTCAGCTGCCAGTTGGTCTATATTACATGCACAAGTTCTGGCTAAAGAGAGAGAGAGAGAGAGAGAGAGAGAGAGAGAGAGAGAGAGAGAGAGAGA